AAGCTACCATATGCATATTCAACCCTGTTAACCTAATGGATACTAAGCTATTAGAAAAGAATCATACAGTCTGGGATTGTACTGCACTCTGGAAGAAGAATTGAAGCTGCTGTGCTTCAGTGGAATTGTAAGCCTTCCGCCTTGTTTGAGCATAGCAAGTAGACACATTGATGATGTGGTCTCAGGGTAGATAAAAATCAATTATTTTTTTTTATTTAAATTGGATTTTTTTGGGGTAAAATGCTTTTTGAGGAAAAAACCTATCTAAAGATAGTTTTAATTAAGATATATTATAGTTCAAAAATATCTCGTCATGGAATAGGGAATATAAATTCTAATTCTAAAGTATGAGACAATATAGTCATGTAATGTTTAAGAAAAGTTTTGTAAACGAGTTCCAACAGTTCATGGATCAGGGACCCAATTTTATGGGATTCCAGGAGCTTCTGATAGATTATTTAGGTTAATCTTTCTATCTACCCAAATGGGACTGAATGCTCAGTCTAGAAGATACCATCAGAGATGCTTAGTTTTGCAGTTCTCAAACTGTGGTTTTGTGTCTCCACAGATAACATGCTTGTTAACAGCAAAAATGTTTTAAAATAAATAAATAATATACAGAGGTGACAAATAACAGACCTCAACCCTATTGTCCCTCTGCAAATTTGTGTACATAGAGTCAATCCCTTACGTCTCTCTAAAAGTGCAAAGTTTCAAAAAGTTCAATGAATAGAAGATTGTTGGGGAGCAGAATAAATCTGGACAAGGAGAAGAAGTCTGGAGATAAATGTGAGAAGGGAGGGACGGGCAGTAATAACAAAAATGAAACTGTTTGAGCAGCATATTCTAGAAGTCTTGAGGTCTTTCTGAGTGTAGCCTTCATTGATTTGAGATCTACCATATCATTCTCTCACTAGAAGGGAAAACCTATAATGGCAGCAGGCCACAAAAGACACCCAGTTGGGGAATAAGAACCATTCAAGAAATATTTGTTTGGTAACAATGTTTTAAAGAAAGTCACACCAATGAACTGGTGGAAGTCACTTAAGCACTTGGATTCAGAGACTGTTGAAATGATTATCTCACTTTTAATAGCAGTAGCTTCTTCTGCTGGTGTAGAAAAAATATTTTCTTCCTTTGGAATAATTCATTCCAAATTGAGAAATCGTTTGGGACCTGAAAAAGCAGGAAAGCTTGTTTTTCTTTTCCAGATTATGAACAAACAGGAAAATGAAGGTGAAGATGATTGAGTTAGCTGAAGAAGCCAATATTTTAAGTTTCTCATGTTGACCTGGCTGACATAGTCAATTTAATTTTTTTTTTAATATTTCATTTATTTATTTTACTTAAAAACAATTTTAACAAAAACAAACCTGATTTTAAAAAACTTGCATGTTTAACTAAATTCAAAAATTCATATGCTTGTTTTGTTAAAATATTATATATTTGCTGTTGAAGGAAAAAAAATCCAGAATACATAATGTTGTTGTTTTAGTTAAATAAAACAATTTAAATGTCTGTCTGGTGATGTTCTCCTGCTAATACAGCACGGCAAAATACAGCAAGAAAATCCTCCAAATATTAATAATTAACCTGTTGAATTGGAGATAGTTCACCTCCCATGACTTTATAAATATCTGCTTCAATTACCTTTGGTATATGAAATAACCAAACAATCATTCATTTTCTGATATAGCTGTAAAACTAATCTGAAAACTTTTCAGAATAAATCTCTTTAAAAATTTATAGTGTGTACCTTCTAAAAATGAAACCTGTATCTATCTCTGAGTTGTGAAGAATATGTATTAAGGTTATAGCAACCAACAAGAATGCAATTTTATGTAGAAATCCATGATTAAATCGAGTCTTCCTGACTAGTGATTTAAATCAATTTGATTTAAATGAAATCCACCCTGCGTGGTCTAATGGGTGAATCGAATGGCTTTGTTTGTGGTGAAGCTGATTTATTTAATGTATAATCTGCAATATTCACTTGAAATAGACCATTTTGCTAGGTATTCAGTAAAGTCTGATTTGATGCGCTATGTTATAGTAATGTATCAAATTGGATTAGAATATAATAAAATAGGGAAGAATGTAAGATAATGGGACATGAAATACTTGGCTATATAATGTCATGAGATGCATCAGGAACAGAAGTAGATGCAGTTTTGCTCAGATGCAATACCAGAACTGTGGGTAACTTGGCAGGTTTAGTTGTATAATGCTTACTTCTGCTCTTTGCTGGATTCTTTAATGATTTACACCCTCTGAAAGTCCACTGATTGCATTTGACAAAAGGCATTTGGTCCCTTTTAAGTTTGATGTTTGAAAAACCGAGAAACTCAAAGTTCAACTGCTGCCAAGGTTGATGCAATTCCTGCTCACAACCATTAATAAACTCAGGTTTATTTGTAACTCAGCCCAGTTTTGCTTCAAAGATTCATGAACCTTGTCCTGTGATCAGGTTTGTGATGAAATCAGGTGAGTTTTGTACAGCAATGTTGAATTCCCAGTCGGATTTGAGATTTTGCTGCCAGTCCATCTGGCAGCTAGGAGACGCAGATAAAAAGAGTTAACTCGGATTTGCTGCAACTCAGTGCAACTTCTTGAATTATGCTGGGTTAGTTTGTCAATATTTAATGTGCTAAATCTAACCGTTTGAATTTTTGGAAATGTTAATTGGGAGAATCAAGTTTATAATTTATCTGAACCCCTTATCTGGAAACAAACACTAACTGAAACTGGATTATGTTTCCTGCTGAGCATCATTTACATTGAAAAGTCCCTGTTTATCACAATGAATTCCATGTCCTTTGTTCTGTTTGGATCAATGTATTCTACTGTACTCTGAAATGCACTTTGACTAAAACTCTAAGGACTATAGAAGGGCCCATACCTCAACCCCCATGCAGAACATGTGGAACTTAAGAGTTTTAAAAATTTGAACTCAAACACAAATAGAAATATTGGGAGGGGACGAGGGGGGCACACATCTCCTTCACATAATTTGTGCATGCTTGTGGGGGAAGCAGAAGCAAGAGAAGGACCTACAGGGGCTGGAATGGGTCTGGGAGCAGGTAGGAACCCCCAGGACCCTCCTTCCCAGCCTGGAGCTAGCTGCTGCCCTCCAACCTTCCTGGACAAACTTCATTCCCTCTCCTATTCCTGCACTCCACCATTTGGATGGAGCTTCTGTTCCACCCCATTCGCCCTGCCAGGGTAGCCAATGCCTACTATGAACTTCACAGATAAGAGAGTTTAAAATAATGACAGCCAGTGTGAATGCCAACATTTTCAAAACAAAATCAAGAAAAAAATGAATTTAGTCCTTTTTGCTCTATGGCCAGTAACATGGCACATTAGCAGGTTATAGTCTAGAAAGATTAAAGTGCTGACTCAGGAAAGAATCCCTGTTTAGAACAGCATTGAGCACATGCTTAACTTTAACTATGTGCGTAAGTCCCACCAAAGTCAAAAGGAACTTTAAGTAGGGGTGCTGGAACAATTTGTATAGTGGGGGTACTGAAAGCCATTGAACCAAACAGTAAACCCCTATATGATGGAAACAGTCAATCTGTGAAACTCGTTGCCAGAGGATGTTGTGAAGGCCAAGACTATAACATGGTTCAAAAAAGAACTAGATAAATTAATGGAGGATAGGTCCATCAATGGCTATTAGCCAGGATGGGCAGGAATGATGTCCTTAGCTTCTGTTTGCCAGAAGCTGGGAATGAGTAACAGGGAATGGATCACTTGATGATTACCTGTTCTGTTCATTCCCTCTGGGGCACCCGGCATTGGCCACTGTCGGAAGACAGGATACTGGGCTAGATGGATCTTTGGTTTGACCCAGTATGACTGTTCTTATGTTCTTAAACCACTTCAAACCAGGGGATACAGCATAGTTCCAGCACCTATGACTTTAAGCACGTGCTTAAATGCTTTTTAGGATTGGGGCCTAAATGACTTACACTCTTTTGCTGTTATTGACTTGCTGACACTAAAAGGTGGAATCTGCAAGACTACAGTTCCATAAAACAAATGCAACCAAAAACAAATAAAAACAAATAAAACCAATATTTATTGGCTTCCTGGAAGCAGTAGTTTCACTTTGTGGGCTCTGAAATGCATAGGGCTCTTTTTTTCTACTGGAGAATGCTGAAGTCCCATTAACACTAATGGGAGGTTTGCCTATGCCATGAGAGAAGTATAAAGCCCCTGGCCTCTGAAAGTACTGTCTGTTTTGTAGCTGGTGCCCTGAGAGTGTTTCTATGTAGGCCCACATACCAAAGGCTGTCAAGACAGCAGGAATATTAGTAGATTATAGTAAAGATGTTCCCCTGCTTCTTTATTTAAAAAGTTTTGTTCAGAAAATGCCCCTAGCAGGACAGCACTACACAGATGTAGTACCTGCGACCTGCCTCCTGAAATGTAAACTGAGACGGTCCTTGTATGGATTTGAGTTTTCAAATCCTGCGTGACATCTTCAAACTTTTCTCTCATTTTAAGCTGTGGCTACTAACTGCTGGTGCTAGGTTTGAACTCACATATTCCCCTTGGTTGTAGGTGCAAGGTCAGCTGACTTTGTCAGAATGAGCTTCTATGGGAGGTTGACGGAAGCCATGCAAAAGTCTTCAATTTCCAAACTGAGGCCGATAGCATCCTAGAATACATGTGGAAAATAATGCAAACCACAGAAAAGTAGAGAGAGAAAAGAAAAAATAACATTCCCTGGGGTAAGTGAGGGATAGAGAACAGATTTTTGTGGCTTTCCTCCCCTACAAACAAGATAATGATTAACCTTCAGCATAAAGGACATTTCTAATGCTGTCCAATAAAGGTAAAATGATTGTGGATTGTGGTCAAATGCTGAGAGAGAGATAATTTTCTCCATAAATCTACCATGGAGAACTTTTATCGCCAGTTAAAAAAAGGTAGAGGTTATAAACTATTAAATTACTGTATAAAATCTCAAAATGAAAAGGTGTCATACTCACATTGGTGACATACTCAATATCCCTCCAAATATTACTTTCCCTGGGAAAGTCTGCCAAATCTAAAAAATTATCCACTATCACTTGGCCAATCAAGTCATGCCTGGAGAATCTGTCAAAGTCATACACAGAGAAGTGGAGTTTCCTTGTGGTCAGATCATTGTACGGAACGGGAAATAAAAAAACCTCATCAAACACTGGATTTAGGGTCTTTCTATGCACTTTAGTCTGTTGTTTTGTTTTTCTATCTGGAAGCAAATAGATCTTCACATAAGGGTCTGAAGTTCCAGAAAAGTCCTTTGCTGGCAGGTTGACAGCTTTGTGAATCTTCACTATCAACTGCTCTAAATCACAATCATATTTCAGAATGAAGTTGAGTTTCCCACAGGCCTTGCTGTTATTCCTCCGGCCATCATCGGTATCCACTGATCTTTGCTTATACAACTCTGGCTTAATGCGTCCAATCCCTGTCAGCTGCTCCTGTTTTTGAAGCTGCTGGATGTTGAAGTCAGGGTTCGAGAGATTGAGCTGTCTTCGGATTGAATTGTGCCTTAAGGGAAAAATGACAGAAACTAAACTGATTATATTGTTAGGTGTTGTGTGATTCTGGTTTGTATAAAGGACCTATTATTTACTTTCATTTGGCTTTCCTTAGCCATGATTTTGGGTTGTATGGTGCCACAGGGTTTGATTTTTACTTCTTTACACCTATTAAGCACAATATCCCTTTTAATGAGTAGAAGGATACTTATATTAGCCAGATGTTACTATAGTTCTTCTTCATCATTGGATTCATGGTGTTTGCATAATTTTCAGTTCCTATACCTCGAGCTGGGAATAAGTACTCTCCAAAATTGGTTGAAACTCATAACATCCCCTGTTAGATAGAACTCACAAGAATGCTGCAAAATCACTGACTCCCAAGAAAAGCTTAGAAGTGTATACTATTCAGTCCAACTACATATGTAGCCCATAAAGGAAATGGACCAAATTCATGCCTGGTGCAAATCCACAGAGATCAGTGGACTTAAGTACACCAGGTATGAATTTGTCCCACTGAGTGTAATAATTATAATAAATACTAATACTTAGCACTTGCTTTATAGGGGCTTTATAAATACTGAGACGAATCCCATGAAATATAAGGGTGTAACACCAATATAACTGAGAGCAGAATTGGTCCCATAAACTAAGTAATGGCTTACTTTGAACTTGCAGATATCTTGTATACAGTGACGGGAGGAGATATTTCCCAACATCTGTATTTACTGATGGAACCTACTACTTGGTTCACAAACTGGTTATTCTAATTTAAATGATTTTGCTGCTTGTTCCTATCAAGCTGGTTTGCCTCTCAGAACTCCTAGCTGATGTGATAAGCGCTGTAATACTTAGAATGAAAGACTGCTTTAGTTTCATTGCTCCTAGGAGAGAAAGTTACTTTTAGTTTCAGTCCAGTGAGATTTATTATCTAGACTTGGTTATTGTGATTGAAATTTCCACTCTACAAGAAGATTGCAGAAATCAAATTTGTAGTTCTTGTATGGGAGTGGGATGTGAAAGCTGGATTAGGTAAAACCTTAATCCTATACAAGTTGGATTTTACGTTTCCCCCCAATTAATATACAGCAATCATGCAACATATTGTAGAAACAAAATGAAGTGAACATGAAAAGTAAAACCTGGGAAAATCTTAGCATAGGATTCGTTAAAAACTATGTTGAATATAATCAGCATTATTTTCTCTGCTGTTATCATTTCCTGAATGTGTGTGCATTAAAACAAAAGCATTGTCTCTTATAATCCATCTAATTTTTTCCCCTTACTGCACAATAAAAGCATAATTATGTTGTTGTGCATTAGTAATTTTCATGACAATATATTATACCACAAATAAGGAATTATACAACTTAACCCCTAGCATTCTCTACAGATTGTCAAGATGCTGTAATAGAGACAGATAAGGGTTGTTGCTGGTGTGGGGGTTAGTGTATTATCTACATTGTATAGGTGAGGAAAGTAAGGCATGGAGACTTGATGAAGGTCACACAGCAAAGGCTGTAACTGACCAAAGACTAGAATCTTGGTTCTCAGTTCTGTGCTTGCTAGACTGCATTGCCTCACATACAATATCTTATACAGCTTGCATATCTGGGAGCCCCCAGAAAAAAAGGTAGTAGGGGATCAAATTGCATGCAAGGATCAAAATGAGTATCGTTCTTTTCTTGTACCCCACGCAGGGTTTATTTCCAAAATTGACTTAAGTGTGACAATGTTTCACCAATGGCAAAAAAAAAAAAAAAAAATTAGTGATGATAATGATGATAGTAACATTAATCCCTCAATTTCCTCTTTTTACCTTTTCCTGGAGGATGTTGCCTCCTGCCCCTCCCCAGCCCTAAACTGTCTTTTATCGAGCACCAACAAGAGGCACTGATTTAGGTGGGTAAATTTCATTGCCTTCCTTTTTGGTGTGTTCCTGATATTTTCCCTTCTACCCATCCACTCCATTATTTGCCACTGATTTACCCCTCTCTCACTCCCTTTTGCTGTTCTTTTGCTCCTGCTTTATAACACTCCTCCATTTTACTGCTGTCCCAGAGACACTTTGGGATTAGATACTCCGCAGTGCTATAGCCATGTGCTTCCCTGCCATACTCCCTGTGCAATACTGTTGACTTCTGTGGCATTGTATGGCCTGTTAACCAGTACAGAGGTGGCCTTCTGATAGTGAATGTGAGCCCTTTTCAGATCCAACATTTAATGCTAGTGGTATTGCTAGTGAACCACAGAACATGGGGCAAACTACTTTTACAGGGATTTGAAAACAGAACATTAGCTCCGTACCACAGCTCTCGACTACAATGCCAGTCTGAAATCAACCTTGCATGTGGCTGTGTGTGTGCAACATGGTGTCCAGCATCGACAGTTATGGCAATGCCCTCTCCACAGACTCCTAGAAAAGACTCTCAAGGAGCCTCCCTTACACTGATCGTACAGCCAGTGGAAAAAGATTAACAAAGTGTGTCCATGTACCTGGAGCCTTTGCTCTGTAGTATGTGTGGTGTTTGTTGGGCCTTCTGTTCATCTAGGCCAGGGGTGGCCAACCTGTGGCTCCGGAGCCGCCTGCGGCTCTTCAGAAGTTAATATGCGGCTTCTTGAAAAGGCACCGACTCTAGGTTTGGAGCTACAGGCGCTCACTCTTGCACGCCACAAAATAGCTGATTGGGAGGTGCGGGGAGGGAGGGGGAAGGTGCTGATTGGCAGGGCTGCCGGTGGGTGGGAGGCACTGGGAGTCGGGGGGAGGGTGAGCTGATGTGGCGCTGCTGAGGTATTACTGTGGCTCTTTGGCAATGTACAGTGGTAAATTCTGGCTCCTTCTCAGATTCAGGCTGGCCACACCTGATCTAGGCCAAGCCTTCTCACACCTAAACCTGGGTCTGTCAGCAATTATTCAGCTTTAACAGCTGTTATAGCACCTTATCTTAAAGCTTTTGCCAAACCCACTCCAGTCAAATGGCCAGACGAGTTATTGAGGAGCAATGGAGAGAGTGCTGTACCTTCTCCAGATCCAGTACATCTGCATTAGCTCAGAAATCCACTAATTGGCTGTTCACGTGCTGATCCTTTTTCTGGCTGCATGCAGCCTAATCCTTTTATCACCTGCCCCTAAGCACTCTCACATTCTCCCCTTCTCCCTTTCCTGTTCCCTTATATGCTGGCACTCTGGTTCCTTTGCCATCATCTAATCTTGCTCATTCAGTTTCCCCCCACAGTCAAGGCTGTAGCTAAAACCTATCACCTTTAATTCTATTTCTAACTTTCAAAAGTGTTTCATTAGCCTGCCCTATTTTTCTCTTTTGATGGTTGTTGAAATCTTTGCGGAGCCCTCGGCATTGATGGTAAGTCCAAATGAATGTGATTTACAAGATCCAGTGTAGGCTGTTCTTTTGTTCTACGGGGCATTAACCTTCCTGGCTATTTCCCCAGCTTATAAGGGGAAGACACAGATGATGCTGTAGTTGTTCATGTTGGAAAACATGGATCGCCACTGTGGCTACTATGGAAGCACCTTCCTAATTTTAAAGCCATCCATCATCCAGTACACCCCAACATACAACTGATTTTCTATGATCATTAAAGTAAAAGAATGAGGCAGGTACAATATACATCTGCAGTCAGGCTCTGTGTTAACTAATAAAGTGTAACTCTCTTGGTCTCATCTCCATTCATAATGATTATCATTAGAAAGAAATTACAGCTACTGACCGAGCAGAAGAGGTTGGTTCTGTGATTTGGCGATGCATTCGGACATTGTGCACACAATTCTCCTTGGTCCCTGCCTGAGCATCTAATGGAATATCAGGGGAAGTGTGGCTAATCTTCAGGGAGGACTCCGGGTAGGAAGTGGGCTGCCCCAGGTAATCCTCACTGTATTCATGGTCATTGGTCTCTGTGTCTGTATAGTTCAGCGATCCCTGCTTGTTGTCTTTGCTCCCAGAGGGCAGGCCACGTTCTCGCCAAGGGATCCAGCAAAGCTTCCAGGACACAAACAGAGACACACCAAAGAGAGCAAGTCCACAGGCTGTGACAACTAAGGACAGCAAGCTTACTGAGATATCTGCAAAGAAGAAAAATACAGAGACATGTCACATTTTTCCTCCTGTTCGGATATGGCTCTGTGCAGCTCCAAAGGGGCACACATTATGGAACTAATCGTTCATTACATAATGCTTTTCTACTGGATTGCAAAAATGAAGCACTGGTAGCTGCAGCATTCAGGTCACAGAAACAGAACAAAATGTGTTTCCTCCATTTCCCCCAGAAAAATTAACTTTCATTAATGTCTTGCTGTGAATAAAATATTAAAGAATTATAGTTTTGAAATGTATTATTAATATTGGACACAGGCTCTGTGACTTCTGGCCTTCACTAATGCTACAAGAGAGCATTAAACACCATTTAAAGTGATTTTCATCAGCCTCAACCACTCTCCATTCTATCCTGGTGGTAAATGCCATACGTGGGAAAACTTCTCTGTCTCACTCACAGAAGCGGGTCCAATACAAGATATTACATCATCCACCTTGTCTCTCTAATATCCTGGGACCGGCACAGCTACAACAACGTTGCATACTTGGGAACATACATTGCTGTGGTCTTCCTGGCATAGACATAAGGGAAATGTACAATATTTAGACTTTTCAAAGGATGTCTTCCATTTTATCTACAGAGAGAGATTTTTTTTAGAGAAATATCACTTAGAAGAGTAAAATGAAAAAAAATCCTCTATTGCCTTTCAAAATGTTTTTATGTGTCAGTTGCCCCTACGGCAGGTGTTGAGCTGTCATGTGCCCTCTTTGCCCTGGGAAGCTAGCACTTCACAATGAGGTTCAGCAGCCCTTGTATGGGTTCATCATGAGGTAGTGTAGAGGTTGTGTTTGTGTTCTTTTCCTGTGTAAAGTTGGGGAGGGGGGATGGCTGGTGGAATGAGGAATCAAACTAGAGAAGGAAGAGGCGTGTTCAGTCATCTGTTCATCTTCCTGCCAGTGCAGGATTGTTCGCTACAATACACTTTCTGTTGCCTTGTTCAGTTCAGTTTCAAATGCCTCCTTCATTGGGGCTTTCACCACTTGCCTTGTGGAGAATATTCCACAGTTTAATATATATAATACCTGTCAAGATATTTTCCCCAAAACTCACCAGAAATGTTTAGTATTTTAATTCTATTCCTTTTAATTCTAGCCTCTTTCTCTACTTTGTGCATGGGCACTCTTCACATATGTTTACATGCTAATCTTGTGTCTCCCCCAGTCATCATTTAACTATGGTATAACTACGTGTACAAGGTCAAGTGTCTTAATTTTTGTGCTCTTCTCTGAAACCCTTGCAGTTGGTCTATATCCTTCTGGTCCTCAGGGGATGTGGAGGTGGACTCTTCGCAAATCTTTCACAGATCTTAGCATTATCCTGTCCTATAGGTACTATTTGGAGGTTGGGTTTTTGTTTTTTAAATTGTACTTTGGGAAAAGGACTGACTGAAACAGCTGTTTTGATGGTGATGGCATTTTCTAAATGAGTTTCATTAAGGGTTACACAATATACCATGCCCTAAGCACAATTAACAGGGACTCCATTTCATTGCATCAAACTGCAACATAGCCTTATCACTGCAATTTTCCAGACTGTGTAAAAGCACTATATGTCACTGTAATCTCACCTCTCCAGTTTACTGTTAGAGTAAAGTTTCAAACAGCTGCACAAGATTTAGTCATACAGCTCCCAATACGAGTCACTTATGTAACTGTGTGTGACAATTCAGGTGAAACAAACCTCAGCCAACTCTAAAAGAGAATACTCTGTGTCTCCCAAGGAGAACGCTAGAAGATACAGCCACTCCCAAAGGCTGGGCAGGTTAAATCTCTGCTGTTGCTGCAAAAGCCAGTCTCAGTCAGCCCTGGTCTATACTACAAACTTATATAGTTTGTATAACGAGCTCACTTAGGAAAATCCACACCCCCGAGTGATGCAGCTATACTGACCTAACCCGCAGTGTAGACAGGACTACGTTAACAGGCATTCTCCTGTCCACATAGCAACCATCTCTTGGGGAGGTGGAGTACCTACACTGCTGGGAGCAGTTCTGAACAACTCTGGTGATGACTTTGGGTAGAGCACAGTTAGCTAGAGAACTGAAATCAAGAGAAGTAAGTTATAGCAGTAATAACACTTTGCACTTATTTAATACTTTTCATCTGAAGATCTTGAAGTGTTTTACAAGCACTTAATAAAAAAGCATCACAAGACACCCGAGAGTAGATGGGTAATACATTTATACTCATATGACCTGAGGAATACACAAGTTAAGTGACTTGCCAAGGTGAGTCAGTGGAGAAACAGAACCTAGGAGTCCTGAGTTCCAGTTCCCTGCTCTGATCATTAGGTTACACTCTCTACCAAATGTTCTGGCATCTTGAATTTAGTAGACATTGTCTGATACTGATGCATATTCTCTCTTTCTAAACAACTGTGGGTTTCTTCCTTGAGCCAAATCAGCTGGCTATTGACAAACCCAAGATGGGTCCTGCATATGCTAGTTTCAAACTGCTGCCATGTGTTCAGGAAAAGCCCATCTTATACCAGGTGTTTTCCCAGCTATTTATTATTCAATGTGCGTTGGGAGGAGAATCCATCAGAAGGCAAAAGTGCACAGCAGAATGAGGAGATGTGTAAATCTCTTTCACTATCCTCCTTTTATGTTCGACCTGCTCTCACTCGTTCCTTATCATTTTGTTTCGTAGGATTTTTTGGGGGTATGAAGATAGTTTCACACTTCTATGAAGTTGCAGTGGGGCTAAATACTATGGCCAAAGCATTGAGTGACCCTAGACAGGAATTTGCAGGTAATCAATGCGGGTACTTAACATTTGAGTAGCATATTTTCAAGTACGAGGCGGATCCAGTTCCTTTGGACAACTAGGGGTACTATAACCCCTGTGGTACTGTGAGCAGCTTCAGGGACTGTAGCCCCAAGTAATGAGTATTTCAGCTGCATCTTCCTTCTGATTGTAAGAGAGCGAGGCTCCCATGGAGGTGTTCTCATATTACTTACTATTTTGTATTGATTTTTCTCTAGTAACTTTTCCTCCATTTCTCCAGCTGTTCCTCCGTTTTCCTGAGCCTATTTAGCGATATTCCCATGTGCTTTTGTTCTTCAGCCTGATGTCAGTGGCTCACTCTGCTTTTTGATGAGAGCAGAAAGCATCCTCATTGTGTGTATTTGCAAAGATTACAGCCATGTAGTGCGAGCGAGTACTAGAATTGTGGTGACACTCAGGACCTCAGAGGCTAGTCTTTTCAGTTAGCTCAGCTTTCACAGGAATTACTGCAACATGTGTGTGACACTACTATTGGAGATAGGCCCAAACTGCAACTGCAAATCGGAGCTCTTCCAAGCATGGTAAACTGGGTTGTGGATTTACATACAAGCCTGAATTTGGTATTCGTGTGGAAGAGCACTGGACTGGATTGTAATTCACAAGGAGCAATCCCTCTACCAGCTCATCAGCATGCAAAGATAGTGTGCATATTGCACCGTTCCTTTGGATAGTGGAGCCTGGTGCCTATTAGCTAGGGTCCTGCCTCCTTTGCACCCCCTTTGGGGTGATCTGCGCTCTTGGAGCTCGAGAAGGGAGAAATCTCCTGAATGGATTGCTATTGTGCCTGAGTAGTAGAAATGGCAATGATAGGGGAAAAGACTTCTTTCACCCTTCCCTCTCCTGGTGCAACCATGCTTGAGCCAAGGATCCTGTGCTATACAGGAGGTCAGCCTAGATGATCACAATGGCTCCTTCTGGCTTTATAGTCTACACTGCAGAACAACATAGCCTGTAGCCCATTTCATCCTTTGTAGTCAGACAGGTTATTAACATCTTTATTTTCCTACCTTCTCTTTCTGAAAAAGATTTCAAACTAGACACAGCTTTTTAAAGCTGGATCTATTTGTTTGCAGTCTCGGCATGTGCCTAATAATTTTGCATGCAGCGTTTCCTGGAGTCAGTAACAGTAGGGAGCTAGAACTGTGCTATTTCTTCAGCAGGATTCTTCTGCATTTTAGTCTCATGTTTCTTTATTCCTGCTGATTGAAATCTTCTGTAAATCACCATTATTTTATTTTTTGGATCTAAGTTTTGGAACTTTAGTTAATTCATTCTAATTTTCCAATAGGACAATATTTTGACATAAGAGGATATAAGGGCCAGCTCCTGGCCCTGCTTTACATAGAAATAAGCCACACATTAATCCCTTTCTCACCACAGATACAATACTGTGCTAGGTTAATCAGGCCTAGTACAGCAGTGGAAGCAGAGAGGTTTCATGCTCACTCTCTGGTGAGGACCAGCAGATCTCCTCCACAGCATGTGAGCTCCTCATATCCAAGCAGCCGTCCACAGAACTCTGTCCCCTTTCTCCCTACACTGGGCACACAGGGGTTAGTGTGAGCTGTGGAAAGGGGGTGGAGGCAGAAGGCAAATGAAATTACACCTCCAGACAATCCACACCCTCATAAAACACAGAAAAGGGACCTCTAGAGAGGGCCTGGGAGAGTGTTGGTAAGGATTTTTCTGTCTGCCCAGCTCTCAGTTGCCATTGGGTTTGTTAGCCCGAGATACCACTGCATTCACAGATGCAGTTCATCACTGTCTGCTGGGAGGTCCCTGTCTTAAGTCCAAAAGTTCATTTACTCTCCTTGCCTGATTAAGAGATAGAATTGAGGTGTGCACATCCTCAGTCCTTTCCTGACCTCACAGTCAGCTTGGGCCTGGGGAGGGCAGAGTCACTACGATTTATGGTCCTTGAGAATCTGATTAGTTCTCCATGGCTGCAGATAGTACTGGGATTTCGCCGTAAACAATCTTTTGTAATACATAATGTTAAGGGACTTAGCTGTCCTTGGATCAGGAAGTTACAATAATAAAATTCAGGAACCACCTATATGCATTTCTTTGATTTAAAACATATTCCAATCTAAATGAATTCTCAGATTCCTGTCATACATACACGCGCAAACTGGCCTCTCTAAGGGATTTTCATGCATATTCCTCAAGGGACCGGTTGTTC